GGCAGCTACGAAACTTTCGCGATTAGAGTTGGGAATCTATTGGATCGTTTATTATGGTTTATCGCGATCGTTCGATACTCGTTTCTTCGTGCTTTGACTAGCAAGTTTTGGAGAAACGTATTGGTCGGTGGAAAACACAGAAGATTTTCTTACAAAAATCTTTATTTTTTTCAACATTTTAATATCTTTGAGCGTTGCAATGTGGAAACAGACGATTGGTGAATACTTTGTTCTATTAAAACTTTCCTTGCAATCTGTGAAGATGTCTGAAAATAATAACTTTCGCCCAATTCGTTCGACCAAGCTCCTACGAAACCATGTTTCATCGATTGATTTCATTAATAAATTCACGATAACAAAATGAGAACAAAAATCGATCAACCTGGTCTGTGCATAACCCATACATAATTCATGTACAACAGCACTACAGCAGTCTCTGCACTGTCGAATATATATTGCGATATTAAGAACGACGAAACAAAAGCTTCGACGTACCGATAATAGAGATAAAACGGCTTGGTCTGGTCAGATAATTCGAGGATAATTTGCAGCCGTCGCCTTAATGGAAATAGGCCTTGCCCGGTTCTTCGATCCCATAACTTCCGCGGGGCTAGGAATCCCAGCGATGCTAATTTCATCGTAGGATGCTGGAATTCCAGGGTCCCTCTGGCCGGACGCGGTTATCATCTGGCGCTATTTCGATCGGGGACATGCACCGTCCAGTTATATTAACCGCATTTCCGGAAACGTTCGATTGGCCGCGTGGTATCGGAGCAATTCGTGCAATAACGACGAGAGTCGTCGCGTCGGCCAGAGATAATATCGCGAACGATAACATCCCCGCTCCCTCTCCTCGTTGCAGTTTCGTTCTGTTATTGGACTACCCTCTCGCTATGTTGTAATGCTGTAGTACTGTACTTTTATAGGGGTTACAGTTGGCTTAGTCTCGAGATTTTTTTCAATTGACTTCATGATGTTCGTAGATGTTTGATAAGAAGGGTATATTATGAGACAGAGTGGAAATGTATTGATACATTATTTAATACATTAAATACATTTTCTTTAATGAAAGCATAGTTTCGGGAGTCGTTTCTGAGATTTCTTTCCATCTTTTAGGTTTCATTCGTTTCATTACTTAATTCTTTGGGATTTTTTTTACATTCGTTGCATTACTTAATTTTTCTTGAATAATATGTGATAGATAATATGTAGAGTATCAGTGATGATTTTTTAACTGCTTCCTGATCAATTTTTTGGAAAATATAAACTTTTTAAATCTTTAACTTCGGCAAGTTTTAGCAGTGTTAGAAAATTATTGAAAATTACATTGGAAACATATTGTTCCATTGCACTATGCTTGCTCGTATTATTTAGATTATTTTCAATTTAGCAGATTATTTCAGCCATACTTTATATTAAATTTAGTACAAAGGAATTGCATAAATTTATTACAAAAGGAAAAATTATTTAAAAATTATGACAGAGTCAAGATGATACGCCAGATTATTTTGATATCGTGGAGGATTATCGAGGTCGTGTAACCAATTGTCAAGGTCATTCAAAGGTTACTATGAAGGATCATGAAGATCGTTGACATTTGAAGCAATTCGAGAGTCATTGAGAATCATCTCGAGCTCGTGTTTCCAACAATTAAAAACACTTAAGGATCGCTTAACTCGTCGTGGTGTCGTTATATATACGGTGTATGATCCATTCGAAAGCCATATCGATCAACTTTATAAATTGGAAAGAACAATTTATCTTTCAAATACTATTTCTTAAAATTCGCATCATTCTCTTGTTACAAATATACCCGTGAATTAATTGAATTATAACGAAATGACAGTAGGTTTATTTTGAGCAATCAATAATTTTATCATTAAAATTCGATGATATTATTGACGAAGCTTAAACATTAAAAGAAAACAAAGAATTAGAAATCTAAATTGTTCCTGCATTCTTGTTACTGAGCAGAATTACTGAGTAAATAAATAAATATTCTATTTAAGAATAAATTTCGAGGACTTGCGTTATAGTGCAATACTAGCAATTTAGTGCGCGTGTTTCTTCAAATGAATTTTCTCGCTGCATGATTTCAAAATATTTTTACAACATCTTAAATTCACGAACATTTTTTTAGTTTTTACTAAACTTTAAACAGAACAGAAGCTGTTCTGAAATTGATTGTATAAACCAATATCGGCTCTAAACCCTTTCGGGTTTTCGAAGTAAGCAGCTCGCGAATCTAGTTACTCTCAGAATGATTAAATAACTTGTACGCTGTCTCGCGTGCCAATTGAAAACTGCCTCGTTCGCCGACGAACGATCACGTCGGAGCGTAAATGTAAACGATCGTGATCGAGCGGAACGAAAGCACAATGGCGAACGAAGTCATCGCGCGATCGTGTGCGTCGTTCACGACGTCGCCGTCGAGTGTAAACCCGATTATGAGGCAAGCTATTGCGTTTCTACTCGCATTCTTCTCGAACACACATTCGCATTTGGCGCGCCTGTCTGTATCTCGCGATACCTGTGTTCTCGCGGCGTGATATCTTTCCGCTTCAGTCTTCGCTCGTGTGTCCATGGCTGGAAGCCTTTATAGAGCCAGACAAGTCGATTGAATTATAGTAACAGAGTTATCCGTCACTTCGTGCGACGCGGGCTAAGGGCTAAATACTATGTCTCAACGGGATATAAACTGATTTTGCAGCTTATTTTGGCAAAAAGGGATCGCGTCTTGAGCAAGATTGATCGAAATGGAAGAAACGCCCTTCTAGATGTTCTATGAATATCTCGCGAATATCTGTTCAGTCTGTTATGCTATGGTTTCCTTTCAATTTATTTAACTGTTTGCTACAATGTCGAACTACAATGTCGAAGTATAATATACAGTGGAACTCCGTTTATGTAGGCTTCATCTATTTGAACCAAATTTCAGCCAATGGCCAATTAAATGAACTTTTGCTAATTGAATATTTGAAACTCCCATTATACTACTGTACTTCGATTCTTTTATAAATATCTGACGTAGATTTTTAAATTCATTGTATGTACCCTTTGCTCCGATTTTCTTGATTTTAACAGGTCAGAATACGTGACTGTTTAACGAAATATTATTCCATGAATGTCTGTGAATATCTGCGAGTATTTCTTCCGATTTTCTTGATTTTAACGGGGTACAACGTTAGATAACTTTTGCGCGGATTAACTTTTATTCGAACCCCAGTCGATGCCCCATTAAATGAATTCTTACTGGTCGAGTCCACTTAGTTGAACTTGAACTCGCGTAATAAATTATTCACCAATTATTCCATAAATTATTTATCCTACAACACGTTTATGTAAATGAAGTTCTACATTCATTCTTCTTCTATGAATATCTTACGTCACGTGAAAAGGAAAAAGAAAATTCGCCTCGAAAGAATTAAATTCCAATTTTCTTCTTCCATAATATAATTCGAACTATTATTTGGAGGATGATGTGAAGGTACGGGGATTATTCAGCGGTAAATGGGGATATTATTCAACGTGTGTTCACGTTGTAAACTACAACGACGAATAACTGGCTGTAGGGCTAAAAAGGGGTGGGCGATTCGAATGATCGAGTGTCATTGCTGGTTGCAGTTAATTCGGGGCGTGTTAAACAAAAGGTTTAGCCGTTTTGACGACGGTCGTTTGCATTAAGTGGCTTTATCCAGGCGCGTTCGCGCGCACGCGCGCCTCCACCCTCAATCTGCATTTGACTTTGTAATTTCATTTATGTCGAATCGCGTATTCCGGCTGGCTACGGACGACGCGCGCAAACATTTGCAGCCGGCGTTGCGTTTCGCATCTCCGAGGACCTTCTTTGATTAGCCCAACTTCCAATTGAAATTACTGTTACTGCACGCGAACATCTGATAAGGGCAATATCCGGTTCAGCTCTCGAGCACCAGTGATTTCTGTCGGACTTGCGATGATTTGTTAGATTTTACGAAATTGTTGCACGATCAAGGACCACGAGAGTCGTAGGCCAAAATTCAGTGTTGAATTTTACACGTACAATTTCATGTCGCGTACACAAAGACATCGAAATTCTTTCCCGAAAACTGGTATTTCGTAGAATGAGATAAATAAATGAAGTAACATTTCAGAAAAAGAAAAAGAATAAAATGATTCAAGAGGAAGAAAAAGGTATTCGTGTATCTGATCGCGAGTGATCACATAATCGCTTATCTGTGTGCGAAATAACGCGCAAGTGGTGGAAATAATTGAGTCGATTAAACGTGAAACGATTGAAGGATAACCGGGC